TTTTCAAGTGAATATATAAACTGTCGATTATTTACCTGTTTGAAGATGTAAATAAATTTCACGTTTTACTATATACGACATAGTGTTTTCTCTTCTATCGGATATACGACAAAATCTGTTTTTTAGAAAATGTGAAATGTAAAATACATTATAAAACAAAGAAAAAACCAAAGAGCCTACGGTCCAGGTTGAAGGTGGACATTTAAATACAACATAAAACGCAGTGTATTCCGGACGTTTCGAACACTTTTTATTGTTGATCATCTTCAGCACTGTTTTCATAATAATAATATGAAAATTATATAAAATTAGTAAAATATATTATTTGTAAAAAACATTAGATGATACTCTAGATCGATACTCACACTGATGAAATGATGTATATTCGAATTCACGCACTGCAGCAGATCGTTACCGTGCACGAGTCAGGATTCGATTGCGAATGAAAGGGCAAGGTTCGATCCGTTCAGATTGGCACGGCGCGGCGCGCGGTGATCATCGATGACGATGCGTGGTCATTCATCATCCCCACGTGACACGATGTACAGAATTACGGCCTGTTATGTATACGCGAAATATATTGCGCGAACCGAGGGAACCGTTACCGCGTGCTTGGCGCATCCAGCCCTCGGATTTACTCGCGAACTTCTCGGCGCGCGCACACACAAGAGTTTATGGTTAACTGCATGAGTTTACGCATGACCCCGCGCGTCCCACGCGCGACAAAACCAACGTTCGTTTAAATTTCTCCGACGTAAAAATTTTGGCTCGGATAAATCGACTGTGTGTGTGTGCAAGTCGCAGCGTCAACAACGGGAATTCCGCCGCGCTTGACGACGATTCGCGCGCGGAAATAAATTAGATCAGTCTGATAATAAAATTGAGAAGTATACAAAAGAATACGCGGCGGAAGAGATATCATCTGCCGCTTGTGCACGCGCCGATTTATGGAGAATCGCACGCAACAACTACATGGTTCGTCGGATTTTTCATCAAGAATGAAATAAAACGCCGTTAATCGCGATACACACAGACGCGATGTACGCACTCTGCCCGCAAGTACACGAGAAATGATAAATTGTCAATATTTGTTGCATAAATTAATAAAATTTATTTTTTTTTTCTGTGCGTACTTTTGTTACAAGAAAATCGAGTTTACGTATTTGCGCGCTCGTAAGAGAAAATCGTTCGCGAAAATCGACGCGGGGGACACTGGAGAAGAAAATTGGAAAATCAATTTAGACTTAAAGCCACGTCCCCTTCAGGGTAATCTCCCCTCAAAATTATCTCTCCTTTACTTCCTCTCGGTGAGGCATATATATTACCACAGTAGGACGAGTGCACCTCGTAAATCACTCGTCGTTCTGCAACTCGCTACGTTACAAAAGAGACAATGACTGGTTCTCCGCCGCAGCCATGTATGTACACACATCACACACAAGTGCGTACCGAATACGCGGTATATAACTCGTGCCCGCGAGTGATGATTTGTGCTACTTTACCCTCTCTCTCTCTTCTCCAATACTTTTTACATATTTATCTTCGCGTTTGGAAAAATATATCTGACGTATCTCTCCGGCGTCGTGTTTACGCAAAACTGAGAGATGTTAAACGTAGTTAGACACGCGAGAACATTCACTTTACCACGCTATTTTTAAGAGAGAAAAGAGCATACCATCGCCGGAAGAATAATATATTTCGCAGTATAAATCAAAGTATTTCAATAATTTAATTTAGCCAATTACGCGGCACGCTGGCACACGTTTTATTTCAACACCTGTGGCTATTATCATTTAAAGTTACAACGTGGGCGTTAGTGGGTCACGGATAGAAAAATAATTTTCCGCAAAATATTTGCGAATGCGTGATTTATGTATTATCTATATAGCGAACAGCTTTATAGTAATAAACGCGCGCGCCGTCGCGTTTTTGCGTAGGCGCGCTCTCGGGAGAGATCAAGATCAGCGTTTCATAATGACGTGCCGGCAATTTCTTATGTGCGCCCTCGCCGCTATTTCTTGAGTCGCTCGCGACGATGTGAGTAAATAATGTATCAGCTCGCGGTATATGAAGCACTCATACACTCGCACCACAAACGGATACCGCGGACCGTTTGCGGACACCCACGTGCGCAAACGGGTCGTCTCATAATCCCACCGGACACTCGGCGTAGGCAGGACACTAGTAGTCTTTCCCGTCGCGGCTGCAGGTGCAGAAATGGTCAGGTGAAATTTTACAAGTCACATTTTCCGTAAATCTGATAACCCAAGAACGTTCCAGAAACCCGCGCGCGTTCTCTCGCGTTTTAACGTCGTCGTTCTCACGCGAACGTTTTGGATTACAAATGTGCGAAGGGGCGGAAAGGTTGCTAACAGAGTCCGAGAAAGAGTACGAAACTCGTTTCGCGGAGAAACATTTCGCAAAATCTATTCGCCGTGCTGCGCGCAGAGCGAGCGTAAGAAGATAATTGCGAATCTAACCGGCGCGTTATATTATCAATAATTGCAAAACTTCGTTAATTAAAAGCCCGGCTAGGCGAGTTGGAAAGGCAGTACGCGCGCTTCTCAGGTGTTTCTGGATATCAAATTTAGATAACAACGTGCCTAATAACGAAACCGTATTTACCGACACTTATCAATGTCCGAATAAGCGTTGGGTAAGTGCGCGTGCAGATTCTTCTCTCGCGTATACCTGCGTGACTTACAAGCTCCGAGTCGATATTTCAACAAGTGTTAAAGTCGCCGATTCCATCGTGCGCGTTCCCCGGGACCTCCGATCATTACGCCCGTTATAAGCTGTCACATAGTTCATCTCACACACGCGTCGCTCCTCACCGATATGTACGCGGGATATGCGTCCCGTGAATCTTTTTCTGTATCTCACAATCAGCGGTTTATTGGCAGAATCAATTTAAATTGCGCGAATCCAATTGGTTTAAAGCATTTACAAAGTGCTTAATCGGGTTTTTTGGATATAATCTTACGTATGTGTACAGAACATCGTTTTTTTATCGCATTAATCTTGTTAGCCGGTTTTAGCATTTACATCACTAATTTCGAGTCACTTCTCATTTTTTATGTTAATCCGTAACGGAACACGATTTCATTTTCCTATATAAAAAAATCCATTTGAACCGCGAAGTGCGCATTTTGATATCGAATGTATCGCATCTATTGTTACCTCTTTTCCGCGTTGACGATTGATTGCTTGATCGAGTCGAATCGAATCGGTAAGATCGAGAGAGTAAATAATGGCAGAAAAAAGCGATTTTGACAGTTTGTCATATACGTGGAAAAAATTAAAAACGTGACTAACGCGTAAAGTCACGTGACAGGAAAAAGTAGAAAAACAACACATGACTAAAGTAACGTGACTGTAATTTCTATTATATATAATATTAAATAATATATATTATACATATAATTTATTATATATATAACATATATATATATATATATTTATAATATTATACTTTATATTGTATTATATGTATTATATACATACTACAGTAAAGTCACTGACCTCGGCGCGCGGCCTTGGCGGGGTGGGGCGGTCACTGACCTCGGCCGCGCGGCCGCGGCGGGGTCACTGACCTCAGTCGCGTGACCGCAGCGGGGTCACTGACCTCAGTCGCGTGACCGCAGCGGGGTCACTGACCTCAGTNACCTCAGTCGCGTGACCGCAGCGGGGTCACTGACCTCAGTCGCGTGACCGCAGCGGGGTCACTGACCTCAGTCGCGTGACCGCAGCGGGGTCACTAACTTTAGTCACGTGTGTTGTTGTTTTACTTCTCCTTCTCACTAATTTTTTATTTTGACTTTCATGCGTTATTTCTGACATTTCTCTAATGTGTATTATATGGTTTGTAAGACGTATATACTAGCTGTCATCGCGGTGACAGGTTGTGTTCACTGACACTATACGTTAAAATAAAAACAATAATAGCGTGCGCGTGGCGCGCGCCTGTGTTGTGCTAGTATTTTACAAAAAAAAACTGTATTATGAACTGATCGATGAAGTTATCGAAGAATTGATATACATGCGCAGCATTTATATATGCAAGAATTTTCCAAGGTTAAACTAAAACGTTTCCTAGTGTTGCGTCAGCGACGCAAAATAAGACTTTCTCTCTCACCGAAGAGAATCAAATATTCTCGAGACTGAGAAAACATATACACACGCAGTAGATTTCACATTCGTTTTACGAGAGCTTCATCTCCGACATCTCGATCGCGCGTATGGAACAATACGATCGGCCGCTAAAATTTATCTCGGCTGCAATTTAAATAGTTCTCCTAAAAAGAAAGAGGGAGGTTTGGCATTCGGAGCGTTTGTAAGAATCGCGAAACGAATTAACGTAATTAGACTTAATGACGGCGCGATTAATTACAAGACGTTTCTTTTCTAAAGAGAAGAATTCTGTTTCTCTCTCTCTCTCTCGCTCTATCTCTCTTTTAGGATTTATTTCACTATTTCCAAATGGTTATTCTTTCTCTTGATTTTTCTCTCTCGGCGCATACTTTCTATGGCGCATACTTTAGTCATGCAGTATCCGAGATTGAGACTAAAACCGAAGGCGATGCAGCAATTACCATTTACAAGGCCGAATCTTTATTAGTCAAGCATAATCGTAGGCGTACATTACGGCACGCCTCGTATCGATTAAGCCAAGCAACACTGACATGATTTACAACACCATAAACGATAACATCAATCTGAATTCTTTTTTTAATAATTGTTTTTGTAAATGCAAATCGACATTTTTATAGTTTCTTTTTACGGTAAAAAGAAAAACTCTCGCTTTAATCAAGAGAGATTCGACGTCTTATCGAAGGTATCGCGTGCAACGATTATTGCATTTATATTTGGATAACATGCAATTTATGACTTTACGACAGTACGATCGATGTCAACGTCGATTAATTTTAACATCAGAGTCTTGTCGATTCGCACCGAAATATTGTGTCGATAATTTTATTAACGCTATTAATAAAACTCACCGGTAGGAGAAGTAAGGACAAGGGCGAGTGTCTCGCAGCCGCCTGCCTAAGACTGAGAAAGTGCAGTAGGGGGTCCTCGGTCGCCCTCAGCTCGTCGAGTGTCCTCCTAGCTTCGCTGTACCTTTCCAGGTATTCCCAGTATGAGTTCCAAAACGAGCCGGGGAATAAGTCACCTGTTGACAGCGTACACTGTCGCAATTAAAATCTACGTCGCGAAAAAGGCACGCTAATTCCGTTATTAAATTACACGGAAATTACCTTTTTTTTTTTTTGATCGTAAAATTGCGCGTCGCATCGTCACATCATCGCAAAAGATTTTACACTCATCCTAATAATTAACGACGCGCGGTGTGCGCATTATAAAAGAAAATAAAACAGAATTTTGAATCGCGTGCAATTAAACAAATTGCAATACTAAAGACAACATAAATACATCAAGCCGGAATTACTAACGTTACACGCATTTCAGTTTCTTCTGTCTGTTTTTTCATCGATGAGAGATGCTCCCGTTTCTTTCTCGCGTTGAAAAATGATTTACCCACGTATACATATATATATATATGTAGCATTTTTATCCGTGATCCGTCTCTCGCCGTGAATTACGGTCCGTACCGTGTAATTCGTGAATTCAACGCGAGCCGCCTCGCGAATTTACGGTAGTCCGTGCCTCTCTCCGTCTACATTTGCGCGTCACGAATTGACATCGTGCAATTATATCCTCAGGGCGGCCCCGTCCGGTAGAAATCGAACTCGAGCATGAGTCACGAGCGATCGAGTGCGAAAAAAATACTCGCGGTATCGCGTTTCGAGATAACACTCCGCGAACGCTCGAGAAGCATATAGAATAAATCCCCTTTTCGTAATGAATATATATGTATATATATAATACATACATACATACACACACACACATACAAGCTGCGCACCGATTTACGATCGACGTCGACGTCGTCCAGTGCACGATATAGAAGACCAGCGATCTTATTAATGTAAATTCGAAATGGCGGGTGATAGTCATTTCACGCTAATAGCAGCAAGCGCGCGGGATGAAAAGTACGGAGGCAGAGAGTACGCGCGAGCTACTACGGCCGTGGAGCGAGTCGGACTCGCGAATGCATAAAGCATAGCAAATCTCGATTGCGCGCGCGACGAACGAACTGCTTAATTAGCGCGTCTTTTTTTTCAAACCCGCTGGAACCGCCCTTGTCGATCGCTCTCTTACCGTCTATCACGGGCGATTATCGAAAAACATGAAAAAAAATTTAAAAAACAGAAGGATAGAAAGAGAGAGAGAGAAAGAGAGAAAGAGAGAGAAAAAGAGAGACGAGATTTGATATTCTCGACAAGCGGGATTATCGAGAAGGGAGAAAAGGCACCGACCGCCTTGATAAGTTCCACTTTACCAGTTTCCTAAGATGTGCAGAGAGCCGAGAACTACTTGCCTCGACCGCTCTCTCGCGGGGCATAATAAACTCGTTAAGGTCGCTCGGCATCGTAATCGATAATCGCGCGCGCGCATGTAGCTGAGAAGTCCCTACCGTATACACACGTATGTGTACATATATATATATATATATATACTCACTCGGCTTGAAGGCATCGCCGTCCCAATTCTCGAGTGCCCCGCGGATCTGAAAGAAAGCAAAACGGGTGCGGTATAGAATTGGCTTTTAAAAATACAATGACTAACATTGTACGTACGAAGATGCGGGAAAAGAGTGTGCGCGGAGATCATGTATAATGCATGAGAAGTGAGTGACTTGAGTTCGAGGCGCGATACACACGTCTCGGCTTTTCGATTCATTATTTTCGATTTGTGATTTCCATCACTTGTCATTTCGCTCGCACGCACAGGTTTTCGCTTCGTGGTCTTCATGTATCTTTGCGTTACTGTGAGAACGCTTTTATGCACCTGTGTGTTCGATTCAATAACAACCGCCAGATCATCGTCGTATTACGATACATTCACAACTACAATATTCAGAAAAGACGGCGGCTTTTTTTAATAGTAAACAAAAAGATTTAATTGTGAAAAGATCGCAATTAATTAAAGTCCGTCTACACAATATACAACATACAAATTAAATACGAACTATTCATTGTACACATTGTGTTTGGTGCGTACCTTTCACTTCCGCGCGCACAATAGAGATTTGTTTTCTCGACCGTTCGTCACATTTTATTCAGGCCGATGATCGTTTTGACGGTTAAAGAAAGAAAGAGAAAGAGAGAGAGAGAGAGTGGAAGCACAATAGTTATTCTACTAACTCGCTTTCACAAGGTATCCCGAACAATCATTAAAGGTATTTGTAGTCCGACGATATCAAAAATGGTTCGAGGCCAGATCACGTCCTCGAGAGGAGGGAAGAGGAGTGAATGCATATAATACTTATATGTTTACTTATGACGCAGCATTACGGCCAATCAGGCCGTCGTCGTCCAAAGAAGCATATTCGATACGAATGAGCTCGGCGGTTCTTGTGAGACCACCTCTATGGTCGCAAAAGCGAGCGTCGTCGATAACGTCACAGTAGCCGGCGGAACTAAGTAATATAAATTCCAATCCGCATTCGCTCGAACCGTTTTTGTTCTCGGCTTTATAATAATAATTGTCTCGAGATATAATAATTATATAGACAAAGCAAACTATATATACATACATGTGACTCTACGAGGTTTTTTCAATACGCAAGCGGGACGCGCGAACTTCACGGGCGTGATAATGAAATGGAAATAAACCGGTTCGGAAAGAATCCCGGGCGATGCATCTGGCACGTAGTAATTAATTTCGCTGTAATAAACGTGCCGCGGCTTCATGAAATTGTATTACACGGTTTTGGAGCAAGAAGAGCCGCGCGTACGAGAGCGAACGATGAATCCCATGGTTTTGTGTCCAACGTGCGTGTACGCGATACGCAAAAGAGTGACGGACGAAGAGGGATGCAGCCACTCTCTCAAGGTCCTTTAATGGCAAGGTCTTCCACAGGCCAACGCAGGCGGATGGAAATTATCGACGAGAGTCAATCAGCTTGCCTCCGAGCTACGAATACGTATCTATCGGAGGCACCGTGTAATCACAATAAAACTGCCGCTGCCGCCGCCGCCGCCGCCGCCGCCGCAGCGCGCGGTTCTGTGTACGAGAGAGCTCAATTCCTAACAACCAATTTGTTCCGGTTTAATTGCTACGTCTTACGTGTGCTATCGCAGGAAAGCAGAGCGTTCTCCTTGCCTTTAACACAGCGACCAGGTAACAATTATCGCGATAAATTGTACGCCGATCTTTCTCCCAAGTGTACTTCAAAATTTCAAAGGAGTCGCTCCATTCTCTCCGTCGCACAATGTGAACTGAGAAAGGAGAAGTAAAGAAAAAAAGCGCAACACAGAAGGCCGGAGAGTACTAACGTCTGTTCGGAGCTTGTACATCGGTTTTAAGGATAAAAAAATATCTACATGACGCAAGATACGTACAATAAATGTAATAACAAATTTCATGTTATTTAGTTTCGCTCTAATTTGAATTGTACGTAATCTTTAAAAATGAAGAAAAAAAAATACATATTACAACGCGAAAAATAAATTTACCTCGTGTATAATCGACCGGATTTGTTCAGGGATTATAATCACAGAATGTGAGATAAACCGCGGAAAGTGAGGAAGACATTGGAATCGGTTCGGTCGCGACGCAGGTCGACGACCCGTTTCTTATCCGAACCGAAAGGATTAGAGAAACGACGACTTGTGTTGAGCTACAAGCGAAGCGCGATAAGACGAATCGGACGAGACAATTTGTGAGAAGGAAGATCTTCTTTTGAAGAGATTCCAAAGACTTTCTCCAAGATACACAATGATGCGTTTTATAACATGTTTTAACACTTTATTTATCTCCAGTAATAATTAATAATGTTTCCAACACAATCCGTGTTCAATGAAACCATCTCTCCTATAAATCGACTGCAATATTTTTCGCATCCACCACACGCGGATAATTGAACTTGCGTTATCAATCCCTGATTGCTTGAACTGCATTATTTATCGATCGCGAGACGATAAGAAACTCGAAACTATGCGTGTACATGTGTATTAGAACACACTTACGCGCGTGTACATGTATAATTAATATGTTTACCAAGGCGGACAACGAGCCTCCTTTTCTGGTAACGAGAGATAATATCGCATTCTATGCAACGGACTTTTATCATTCGCGGGTATCGCGCGTTACGTATCAATAAGTCATTCGAGAAGGGAGAGAAATGATATGATACAGCCGGCGTGAAATGGAAAAGAAGAAGAAAATGATGATGATGATGATGATGATGATGATGATGATGATGATGCGTGCGTGCGCGCGCATGTGGAAGCGCAACGATATGTAGGTACGTGCGTTGCATTCGTCGACGTCGTCGTTCTCCTCGCGTCACACGATGCGATGCGTCGGCGTGTCGATGCGTTTCTTATTGTCAGATACGTATCTATGTTAAGCGCGCAAGCATACTGCGTACCTCCATGCATTTATGCATCGTATTATACACGCCGGCGACGAAGATACACATGAGGGAATAGATACAGGGTGATCCATTCGTTTTCAAGACTGTCGCGAGAGAAAGAGAGAGAGAGAGAAAGAGAAAGATGTAGAGGAAGTGTCTATAATGTCACTGGCGAAGGCGGACCATGAATTATGTATGCATTACGCGGTCGCGGAGATCGTCACACGCCGTCGTTTTACGTTCTCTCGCGCCACCGCGAAATAGCAGAAAGATAATTAACAAAATAATGAAACAGAATCGAGTATATGTATACGATCACCGTTTATACCGGAAACCGCGTTAAACACCGCTGTTAAACATCGAGCGCGCGCGCACGAGAGAGAATCTGGTGGTTATAAAGTCGCGTAAAATAATGATTAGACGCGTCAAGCGAATTAATCGACTGTGAAATTATTAATTAAACGAGCTCCCGTTACGTGTGTAGGAACGCGTGTGTGCGCGGCACGCATGTGCGATTTCGTTATGCGATTTTATTCGATCGCGCGATCGCGCACGTACATCGCGCTGACAACTATACAAGGTGTGCAACTACCAGCGATTTTAATTTCAACAACGGCACCTCCAACAAGCGCGAGATCGGGATTTTCTTACGACCGATACCCACCTTGGAAAACAAAGCACAGAAACAAAGAACACAAACCGAACTGTATCGGAAAACTGTAAATCATCTCGCAAAATAAAGATTCGGCGAAGCGTGAAACACCCTGTATAAAGAACGAATGCCGCAGCATCCGCGGGCTCTTCTACTATCCCTTGAATAGTGATGGACGTTCGATTATCGATAATCTCGGCCGGCATGGATATTACGATGGACACCGTGGCCAATTTTTCGCTCGTGCTGCTTCTCTCGCGGACACGCAGATATGTATTCTTCGAAGGCGGTTTTAATTATACGTCGCACGCGCACGCTCTCATCCCTTCGGCCCTTGCCGCCCATCTAGGACGACGACGACGACGACGACGACAACAACGAGTATGCGAGCGGAGGGCGTTCCCAAAAAAAGCAGGTCGATTTCTCGTGCGGGTTATTAGGCGCCTACTATGCGTAGGCGTTTATCCCATTATTATTTTGTAGTGACTGGATCACTACCAGAAGGACTGCTTTCCCTTCTCTTCTTCACTCTTCTTTTCTTTCTATTCCCGGGGAGATTGACGATCGATAAACAAGATCGACACACCTGCGACACTGTAGCGTTCTCTTTGTCTCATTCTCTCTCTCTCTCTCTCTACGTATCGATCTATCCGGCTATTGATACACAACCGAATACTTTTAGATACTTAATTTATGTTAATCGCGTGTTCCGTCCCGATATCAAATTAATTAAACGCCGTACAAACTATTGAGAAGATAAATAGCTGCTCACCCCGCGTGAGTCATTACGACACGATAAAAGAATAAGGCGTAAGAGACGCGAAACTATCGATCGGAGAAACGTGTTATTAATATTTAATGCCTCGATCAAACGTGGTCGTTTCGCCGATGACATCGTAATTTCACACCGAGTCGAGTCTATATCGCGAAGTGACACCGAACAGATTATGAGAAACACGCGAGAGCGCGTATAAAAATATATAATAAATGAAGTAATTAAAATATTCTAGTCAAGTGTATCATTAGAGAATGTAAATGTTGTTTTCAATCGGGTACGTCCTGTTGTGACGTTTCGTCGTGAGAGACGGGCTCGAGAAATAATCTCTTTCGCCACCGCACGTGGCGGTTGATTTCCTCGGATTCATGACCCAGACTGTTTGTATCTTCACATGCGCCTTCTCTTGCCGCTTCACTGCCGAATTAAACAACAGAGCGACGAACGTGTCCGTCTTCGATGCCGCTCGCGCCATGTGAACGCACCGGAGAAAGTAGATTCGCGTTTCTCGTAAAAAAAAAAAAGTCTCTTTCTCTTTCCGGCCGTCAGTCGTTGCCCGTCCCTTTCTGCACGGCCGATCGGCTGCTTTTACTTGCGCTTTAATAATGTTGTAAAGCCGCCTCGCTCGATCTCCCGATCGGAGATTCTCGCCCTTCTCTCTACCCGGGCGAAGTTGCCTGTCGGGAAGACGTGAGCCGCGATGCGGAAAGCAGCGGGAGA